GACTGGCAAAACAATGTGCAAGAAAGGAGTCCGTAGTTAAATAATTAAGAGGCAGAGGAGCAAACGAGCCTAGGAAATCCATGGAAAGTGTCAAATTAAGAGTATACCTTTTCTTGAAGGCATAAGTCGGGCTTGTGTATTATGGAAGTAGAAGAATATAGTAAGGGAAGATAAGGGCTTATGAGCTTTTTCGTCATTCTAAACACTTGTTCGATTTGAATCCAGTAGCTATTTATAAGACGCCTTGGGTTGCTCGTCCAATAAATTTGAAGATAAGCTCAGGACGAACAACTCTTCTCGTGCTACGCCCTATTAAGTAGTAATTACAGTTGAATGTGAATTGCTAGGAAGTGTTAGAGTTAGATAACAAAGACCCTTGCTGAGGGAGGGAAACCTGTTCATTTACTACACATAGCCACGTTTATTGATGGGTAAATATTGGCAAGCCAATACCTTGTCGGTCATTAAAACTAATCTAAGGAATAATAAAGGTAAACACAGTAGTGGACTATTTATTTGCAGACAATATGACAAACAAAAGGAGCCATCCAAAAACTCTCAATAACTGTATTAATCTCTGGGAGGCAAAAGTACCTAAACGATGAAAATCATGACAAGCCAGAATTAGTTTTACACATGGGCTTTCAAGTTACTGTATCCCACCAATTAGACGGAAGCTGACCCTTGCTGAAGGAGAAGAGAAGAGCAGGGTCTGCAGGATGGAAGCGGAGCTCGTTGATCGCTTGACCATGTCCAGTCAAGCTTACGGGACAGCTGGCTAATCCAGGACAAAGTAAACGGATAACACCACGCTTTCCAGCCACGGCCAGTAATTGCTGCCCAGGCGGTAGACGCAGATGCGCCTCGCCCGGCAAAGGCAGTACGGTAGAACTGGCGCCATGATCACTAGCACTGCAAGCAGCGGCAAGCTCACAGAAGCTATTAGAAGACGAAACTTTGAGGTTATTGGTGGATGAGCCAATAGATCTATCATCATCTTGATGCCGAAAGACAGATGCACCAGTCCACCAGCCATTTGCTTGAGGTGTAGGATGCCTGAAAAAAATTCCGATATCTGCAAGATGAAACTTAAACGTCAAGACCAAATGTACTTAAGAAAATAGATCTAAACAAAACATTCAGTAATTAATACATTCCTTTATCACTCGTTTTAGGAAAGCCAAAATGGACAAGGTTTAATATCCTCTACCAATAAATA